CTTGCAAAATTAATTGTCTCTCTTTCTGGAAGTGCAGAAGAGACTGAAAAATATTAACAGCTACATTTCCTCAATAGACAAATTGCTCCCATTGTGTGTCAGCTCCTCTGAGATGTATGATCTTATCTAGATTGAAGGTACCTTCTAGTGGGCATTGTTTAGATGAATTTGAATTTTCACACGTGTAATGATTCCAATTCTCTAAATACCTGCAGGTTTTAGGACCATAATGGACGTACATGAAATAAGCTGGGGTTCCCTTAGGGGGTGAGAGGGAATCCTTAGACTGTCCCCCACCCATTTTCCAATCACACACACAGGGAGGAGGATGCCCTGTCCGCGCTAGCGGCACATAAACTAAGGATCTCTCCCTACAGGGTATTCACACAGGAGAGACTAACGAGGATGGCCACGACCCTCCTACACCTCCCTTCAGCAAAGAGCATCGGCTAGTCTCTGAGAGACGGCGCCGCTTACTCTGTTGCATCCAGTGAGATGATCAGACTGTCAGTGGCTCACACAGAACCACGATGCATCACACTAGGAGGCGGTAACAACCCCTCTTGAGGCAGTAACAACACCGGTGCATACCCATGCATCTCTCATGGGGTGGCCAAACTAACAGGTCCCCAGAACCGCATACAACTACCGTATTGGGGGCGGCAAAACAATTCCCCAGAACCGCTCTGCATCTGATCTTGCTGCACAGTCAATAAGTTCGGATGGCGTGAGCCCAACAGGGACAGACGGCCCCACGGACAGTCCTCCTCCGACACCCCAATAGAGATTTCAAAAGGTCTCCTACCTCTATTGTGGCACCACGGGGTTCGAAGGGGAACGATCCGTAGCAGCTGCCGGTACCTCTGCGGGCGTTGCCATCCCGGACGAGCCCCCAAATTGTCAGAGAATAACAGAGTTCTCACTTTTTGTTTGGGTACAGCAAATCAGATACTTTATTTTCTCTCTATCAATTTAGCTAGAGGGAGAGAGCTAAACAGGTCTCTCTCCAGGTAAACAATTACCGCAAGCATTTATACCTTTTGTTACAGACAATAATGAGCAACAGCTGCATTTTGTTTATACACAGGTCATTCTGATATCTTGTTTTGCTCACTAATGTAGACTCTTAGTCTACAGTCCACATTATCTACACAAGGTCGCAACAACTTCTCACATGGTTCTTTCCCACTCGCCTCACACATTCCTCGCTTCTCCAAATCTCGCGTTATTAGGGTTACAGTTAGCCTGACTCTTGCTAACGAACTGTCATGCATTGCATCCCCTTCCTGTCAGTTCTTGCTCTGCTTCCACAATACCACTTTCTTCTCTCTCTGTTAGTCCCAGACCCTTCCCCTCTCTCTCATCCCCCATTCCCACTCTCTCTGTACTCTGCCCCTCCTCACTTCCCTTTCCACTAAAAGCTCTCCCGTCCCATCCCATGCACTCTCCTTCCCCACACCCACTCGCTCTCCTCCTTCCCACCCCCCATGTCACGTGCGCACATGCTGGTGAATGAGATCTCCCAGCAGGGCAGTCGCACACACTGCCCAGCTGATCTGGAAACGATTTCCTCACGGCATAGTTCAGCCCAGGGCCAATGCAGTTCTCGGCCTCGCTGCCGAGTCTGCTCACCAGCGCAAAGCATGGCGGGGACGGAGTGTGTGAGCCGGAACAGAGACCCACCCACCTCCGCTCCGAGAGGCACCACCCAGCATCTGTTAACTAGAAATAAGTCTGGATCCCGGCTGAGCGAGCCAGGATTCCTGGTGACCTGCAGGCGAAAGGCTTCGCTAGCAGGGCCTTGAGACATCCTGGCCTCAAGAAGCACTTACTATTACACTGCCCAGAGCGACGCTTGCTGTCTAGCCAGCTCCTGAATGCAACCAATAGGCCATGGCCTGCGGGGGGCCCAACACAGCCGCTATTTGGGAGGTGTAGGTAGCGGGATTCCAGGATCCCGTTCCTGGCTCTAGGCTCAGATTCAGTTTCTCAGTCAGTGCCATAAGGTCCCATCTGGCCTGGGAATCTATGAAAAGCTCCAGGCCCAGGGTCAGTCAGACGCAGTCTTTCAAAGCCCAACGCCCTTCCTTTGTTCCCTAGTCTCTGGAAACCCAGCTGGAACCAGTATCTGCAAACCTCGCCGGGGCGGATCCAGTCTGGAGGAGTTTTCAGTGTGAACCCCTGCCCGGGCCTAGTTCCTGGAGCTGTCCCTGGCCCCAAAGATCCTGCACTGGGTCTCCCGTTTCCATGCCAGGACCCCTCCGGGACCCCTCCCAGCTAGGTGGGATCCAGCCCGCCCCCCCCCCCCCCCATTTAGCAATATGGGTTGGGCAGGGTGGTTACAAGGCTCTGATGCTGGTTTGTAGTGCCCAGAGTAAGAATGCCAGGGCCAATGGTTCCACACAGCCCAATCAAGCACGTACGTTGGCACATTCCTTCTGTGAGGCAAAGGGGTGAGACTTTCCCCCGACTTAGAGAGACCTGGATTTTCTCCCTACCTGGGTGAGGTTGCACCTTTCACCTTTCACTCCCTGGGCGAGTGGCAAGGGCGGCGCAGGTGGGCTCGGTTAATAGTGAGGGTTATGAAGGGCACAGAAGCACTAACGGCAGTTTGAGGCTAGAGCCGTGGTCTCTTGGCTTGCAGGCCGGCTCCTCGCCCAAGGCTAGCGGGTACCTCGTGCGGGGAGGGTCTCTCTGCAAAGACCTGGGATTTCCCCTGCCACATGCGTGAGCGTCACCCAGAGGGATGAGCCCTGGTGGGGGTGTGCGGGATCCCCCAACGGCGACAGACCAGCCACCCCCTCTCCTGGCTTCTCTCTGCCCCGCTCTCCCCCGCACGGCATCGCTCACTTGCTCACCCCCTAAGACCGTCACCGCTCCCCACACAGCCGTTCATGCTCCCCAGGTTCTCTCGGCCCCTGCACTGGTTTCCACTGGCCTCCTGTCTCTGACTGCTCCTTCTGGTGCTCACAGGCTGACGGGTGATGGGAAGGGGCTAGTTCCCAGGAGCTGCCCAGCACCAACAAGCCCTGGGGCGGGGAGTGGATAATGCAGCAGAACAGGGAGGATGGGCGGGGGGGGGGTGTTGTTGCAGGGGAGGGGGAGAAGCCCTTGCGTTTGGGATTCCCCAGCCATAGGGCAGGCAGAGGTGGGGGGATACATCCCTCGCCCGGCGGTGGGGACCCAGGGGGCAGCGGGGGCAGTGCTGGGCTCCAGATCCTGGGAATGGGGGTGTATGTCCCTGACAGCTCCCTCCACCCCCAGGTACGTGTTCATCATCCAGAAGGGCTACCAGGAGAGCGAGACAGGCCCCGAGAGCTCCGTGCTCACCAAGGTGAAGGGCATCACCCGCTCACCCAGCAAGGTCTGGGATGTGGAGGAGTACGTCAAACCTGCTGAGGTGAGGCTGTGACGCTGCCCCCCCGCTCTCAAGGCTGTGATCTGCCCCCCCTTCTGCGAGGCCCTGACATTACCCCCCCACTGCAAGGCTATGTCACTGCCCCTCCCCCATGCACTCCCACAAGGCTTTGATGTGGCCCCCCACTCCCCCCTGGGAGGCCAAAGCACTGCCCCTCCCCCACTCCCTCCCCATGAATCCCTGACACTGCCCCTCCCCCACAGCCTTCCCCCCCTCCCCCACAGGCTGTAATAGTTCCTGCCTGATACCAGGTCCCCCTGGAAGCAACCAAACCCTGACAGCCCCCAGACAGGCGGGAGGGGGCTGCTCTGGGCACCTCGCTAACGCTGCCTGTGCCAATGCCGTGTGCCAGTGCTAATAACAGCGCGTCGCCCGCATGTCACCAGCACCCCCAGGGCCCCCACTGAGCTCTGCACGGAGCCAGGGCCCGGCACAGAGCCCCCGTCCCTGCAATCCCCCCCCTCCCATTGCACCCCCAGGCCCCCGCTGAGCTCTGCATGGAGCCACGGCCCAGCACAGAGCCCCCGTCCCTGCACCCCCCATTGCACCCCCAGGCCCCCGCTGAGCTCTGCACGGAGCCAGGGCCCAGCACAGAGCCCCCGTCCCTGCAATCCCCCCCCATTGCACCCCCAGGCCCCCGCTGAGCTCTGCACGGAGCCAGGGCCCGGCACAGAGCCCCTGTCCCTGCACCCCCCATTGCACCCCCAGGGCTCCCTGCACTAGGCTGATCCCCATGTGGGCGCTGACTTGCCTGCTTGCCACAGGGAGCCCGTCGAGACCCCGCGACCCCTAGGTCAGTGTGCCCTGGGGCCAGCCCAGCATGGCTCCTGGCCGGGAAATGGTGAAGCGACTGGCCCAGGCGGGGGGCAGGATTTACGGCGAGGCAGCTGGCTGAGGCTGGCCGGGCGGACGCCCTCCAGCGATCTCACTCACTCCATCGCCAGCCGGGCACCCCAGTGAGGGCTGGGGGGGCTCCATGGAAAACGTCTCTCTCCCTGTCGGCTCTGCAGGGCGGCAGCGTGTTCAGCATCCTCACCCGGGTGGAAGTCACCCGCTCCCAGACGCTGGAGACCTGCCCGGAGGTGAGGGAGGCAGCCGGGGCTGGGTGGAGGGCAAGGCACAGCCCGGGGGTGGGGAATGGAGGCAGGGGGCCTGGCTGGCTGGGAGCAGCGAAAGGATGCCGAGGAAGGAGACTGGGGATGGAGAACTGGCCCACGACAGCCCCAGACCCACACTCCCATGGGCAGCACTTGGAGGGCCCCTAGTGCAGACAAGGGCTCTGGAGCCCCGGTCCCTGCCCGCAGAGCTGCACCAGGGATTGCTGCCTGCCCGGCCCTGCCCAGCCACTGGCTGTGTGCCAGTGTGCCCGTAGCCTCCGGGCCGGGGGTGATTGACTAGCAGGAGCACAGCGGCTGGGGGGTACCTAGGCAGCCCCAGGCCGGGAGAGGGAGCGATGACAGTTGCGGCATGTCCTGGAGCCAGAACTTGGCCTCTCTGGCTCCCTCCGCCTCGGCTCTGCCCCAGTTCCACACCTGGGTCTGGGCTGATCTCGCTCCACTCCCTGCTGCTGGCGTAATAGCGAGTGCGGGGGGCAGAGGCCACCCAACGCGAGGGGCATCCCAGGCTGCAGGGGGTGGCTCAGGTGGGGGTGAGAGGGAGGGTGCTGGGTAGGGGGACTGGCTCGGTCCCTTCGCTCCCCTCCCCCAGCTCTGCCCTCTTTGCAGAGCCCCAGGGGTCCCGCCCCTCTCCCAGTGACACCTTGGTTTCCGCCCCTGCAGAGCCTGGAGGTCCCTCACGCCACCTGCAGCTCCGACAGCGACTGTGTGGCTGGGGAGATGGAGATGCTGGGGAACGGTGAGTGAGCAGTGCCGCTGGCGGCCTGGGTGGCAGCATGGGCATGGGCCAGGGCCAGCCGGAGACTGGCATTCAGCCGCCCCAGGGCCAGAGGGAGGGCGAGGCCTGCTGCCCTCAGGGGACGCGCTCAGTCCATCTGTCTGTCCCTGCAGGAGAGAGGACGGGGCGCTGCGTCCCCTATTACAGCGGGCCGGGGAAGACCTGTGAGGTCACCGCCTGGTGTCCAGTGGAAGACGGAGGAACGGTCAGGTAGAGAGGGGCTGCTGGAAGTGCAGGGGGACCCACGGACAGGGGGGTGTTCATGGCCCCTGGGAAGGAGACACAGCTGGGAGCCCCTCACCCTTCTCCTGCCCTGGGATGCCACCTAGCCCTCACCCCAGCACCCAGCTCCAGTGGGACACCCCAGAGGGAGACGGAGCTGGGCAGGGAGGGGGTGCTAGGTTGGGGGGAGGCAGGACCCCCCTTCTCATCAGGGGTGAGTTAGCACCGGGAAAGGGGGCTGTCAGCAGTGGGGGAGACACACCCTCACGGTGGACCAGGGACCCCCACGTGCTTTGGGGCGATGGGGTTCTGGCTGGGGGTGGGGGGCTGTCACTTGTGGGGGTGGGGAGGACGATGCCCTGGGCTCGGGGGAGGAGGAACTCCCTGCCCAGGGAAGGGCTGACACGTTTCTGCCCTCGCCAGCGAGTCCCTGGGGAAGATGGCCGCGCAGTTCACCATCCTGATCAAGAACAACATCCAATTCCCCCGCTTCGGATTCTCCAAGTATGGCTCAGCAGGGACCCGCGAGTCTCACCCCAGCCGCCCCCCTCGGGGGAGGGATCACGGGCTGTGCCCATCAGGAACAGAGCCGGGGCGGGGAGGAGGGAGCAAGAGCACTGGCACATGGGCACCGGGGGGGACATTGCCTGGGTGCTGCTCTGGGGGTGTGTGAAGGGGGGTGTGGTTTGTGTCAGCAGTGGCTGAATGATGCCAGTTTGGCCATTGCTGCCATTGTGGTCGGGCCGGGGCACCGCAGACCAGCACACACCAGAGATGAGTCTGTAGAGCATGGCTGTGGGTCTGTGTGTGCATGGGGGTGGTTGTGTGAGTGTGTGTGCACATGGCTGTGGGTCTGTGTGTGCACCGGGATGGTTGTGTGAGTGTGTGTGTGCACATGGCTGCGGGTCTGTGTGTGCATGGGGGTGGTTGTGTGAGTGTGCACATGGCTGTGGGTCTGTGTGTGCATGGGGGTGGTTGTGTGTGTGTGCACATGGCTGTGGGTCTGTGTGTGCAAGGGGGTGGTTGTGTGAGTGTGTGTGCACATGGCTGTGGGTCTATGTGTTTGGGCACCTGCATGGGGGTGTATTTTAGGGTTGCCAGGTGGCTGGTTTTCGACAGCAATGTCCGGTCGAAAAGGGAACCTGGCAGCATCCGGTTCCCTGCAGTAAGAGCAGCAGCTGCGGTTGGAGCCTGGAGGAGCTGCTCTCTGCTCAGCTGCTGGGTGGCAGAGAGGTAAGTGCCGGCGCTGGCTGCCGGGGGGCGTGGGGGAGAGGAATCCTGTCCACCCCCTGCCTCGCTGTACCCCATTGGGCAGGCTCCACGTCAGCTCCTCCCAGCCCCGCTCTGCAGGCAGCAGGTGAGTCCCAGGAGAGGGGGCAGTGAGCGAGGAGGGAGACGTGGAGAGCAAGCGAAGGAGGATGGGGGGAGAGGAGTGAGGGGGGGCGGGGCCTCAGGGGAAGAGGTGGGGCAGCGGCGGGGCAAGGGTGTTGGCTTTTCAGCAATTAGAAAGTTGGCAGCCCTAGTGTGTTTGTGCATGTGCACGGGTATTGGCAGCTGTGGGCCCCATGGGGGTCATGAGCAGGGCCGGTGCAAGGAAGTTTAGCGCCCTAGGTGAAACTTCCACCTTGCGCCCCCCCCCAAGCCCTGCGGCAGCTCCCCACCCCTCCCCACCCTGAGATGCCCCCCCTACGGCAGCGTCCCCCCCCGGGGAGCCGTGCGGCAGCTCCCCACCCCAGCTCACCTCTGCTCCGCCTCCTCCCCGAGCCCTGCGGCAGCTCCCCAACCCCCCTCCGCCCTGAGGCACCCCCCCCCCGTGGCAGTTCCGCGCCCTCGCCCGGGGAGCCGTGCGGCAGCTCCCCACCCCAGATCATCTCTGCTCCGCCTCCTCCCCGAGCCCTGCGGCAGCTGCCCACCCCCCACGTGGCAGCTCTCCCCCCGCCCGGGGAGCCATGTGGCAGCTCCCCCCCCGCCCGGGGAGCATGTGGCAGCTCCCCACGCCAGCTCACCTCTGCTCCGCCGTTGCTGCTCCACTTTTCCCGCCTCCCAGGCTTGAGGCGCCAATCAGCTGTTTGGCGCCGCAAGCCTGGGAGGGAGAGAAGCAGAGCGGGGCGGCGAGCTCAGGGGAGGAGGCGGAGCAGAGGTGAGCTGGGGCGGGGAGTTCTCCTGCATGCCGCCCCCCCCTTACTTGCTGCAGGCGGCCCTCCCCGCGCCCCCCTGCCCCAGCTCCCTCCGCCTAAATGCCGACAACAACCGGGGTGGCCGAAGATCCGGCTGCCACAGTCGCCGCCGAAGAAAATGTCGCCCCCCAAATGCTAGCACCCTAATAGGTTGCACCGGCCCTGGGGTCTGGGTTCGTTCACGTACATGGGGGGTGAGATACTCAGCAGCTCTTGGCGTGTCTCCTCAGAGGGAACGTGAAGGGTGATAAGAACGGCTACCTCAAAAGCTGCACCTTCAACGAGACCACGGACCTGTACTGCCCCATCTTCCGCCTGGGCTCCATTGTGGAGCAGGCAGGAGAGAACTTCACCGCGCTGGCCGAACAGGTAGCCTGTGTGGGGAGGGGGGACCCTCGCCCGGTGACAGGGGACGGGCTCTGTCCTGGTGTACGGGGAGGGGGGACCCTCGCCCGGTGACAGGGGACGGGCTCTGTCTTGGTGTACAGGGAGGGGGGACCCTCGCCCGGCGACAGGGGACGGGCTCTGGCCTGGTGTGCGGGGAGGGGGGACCCTCACCCTGCGACAGGGGACGGGCTCTGGCCTGGTGAGACCGCTGCAGGGTCTCTCATAGGGCTGGGTTCTCTCGGGCACGTGGCTCTCGGGTCTCCCCCGAGGGAAGGCTCCGGCTCAGGCCCGTCCCGCGGCCGATCTTGCCTCCTGCACAGGGAGTGTTGAAGGTCAGGGGCACTTGAGCAGGTGCCGTGGCAGGGAGCTCCTGGCACGCCAGAGACACCCTGTGGCAGACAGACAGCGCAGGCCTGCAGGCAGCTCTGTGCTGAGCTCAGCCTGTCGCTCAATCCAGTTGAACGCCCTGTGCCCAACACTGCCCAGGTGCCTATGGGCGGCACCAGCTGCTGCAGGAGGGCCTGGCAGGTGAATGCCCTTTGGCCCACTGGCCATTCTCTGCCACTCCCCAGAGCCTTGCGCCATCCTGGCCTCTCTTCTTGGGGTGCCCCCTCCTGGGCAGAGGTCAGCTGCTGGGTCCCCTCTGACGCCAGAGCCACACGCTCGCTTTCTGAGTCCCCTCCACACGCCCCCTGGGCCTGGATAGCCAGCTCCTTCGCGCTTCCCTCATGTCAGCACCAATCTGCCGGGTGCTGTGCTGAGCTAGGCTGGCAGGCAGCTCCCGGAGCCCGGCAGCTGCCCTCTGGCGCTGGGTGGGCCCTGCAGGGCGAGCAGGAGGGAAAGCGTCTGGCCGGACAGGCAGCAGAGCGATACGGGGAGCAGAGAGGGGAGCTCTGAGATGCAAGGCGATCTGGGGGGGGGCGATGGGCTGGAAGTCAGGACCCCGGGTGCTGCCCAGGGTGGCTTGAGGTCCTGCTAGAGCTGTGTTGGTCCTGCCCTGCTCTCTGTCTCCTGCAGGGCGGCGTGATCGGGGTGATCATAAACTGGAACTGTAACCTGGACCTGCCCGACTCCGCGTGCAATCCCAGATATTCCTTCCGCAGGCTGGACCCCAAGAGAACTCAGGTGTCTTCTGGCTACAACTACAGGTGACCTGTCCCCCTGCTCCTCTGGGGCGGTGACCCCCAGGGCCCTGCAACCCCCTGCTCCCGGGCCTGGCTGCTCCGCGCTGACTGCCCCTCATCCCCGCTCTCTCCTGCACAGGTTTGCCAAATATTACAACTGCAACGGGACGAACACGCGGAGCCTGATCAAGGCCTATGGGATCCGCATTGACGTTATTGTGCATGGCCAGGTGGGAAGAGAACCCTGCCCCGTGCCCCCTCCCCTGAACCGGGCCCGGGACTGCGCGAACCCTGCCCGGCGCCCTCCCCCCTCCCCTCCCCCCGCACCGGGCCTGGCACTGCGGGACCCTGCCCAGCGCCCCCTCCCCTGCACTGGGCCCAGCACTGTGCGACCCTGCCCAGCGCCCCCTCCCCCGTACCATGCGGGACCCTTCCAGCACCCCCTCCCCCGCACTGGGCCCAGCACTACAGGGACCCTGTGATGCCAGGCTGGGCCGAGTCGCTGACATTCACAAGAGGGTGGCCAGATGTCCGGTAGGAGATCTGATGGTGTCCGGTCAGATCTACTGACTGGACACCCGAAGTCTGGTTACTGCAGGTGGGGGAGGTGGAGAGGAGCCGGGGCGATGACCCGGGGCTGCCTCCTACCTGCATTGGGCAGCTGCAGCTCCCAGCCCCGGCTCTGCAGGCGAGTCCCTCCCCACCCATGCAGGGAGAGGGGAAGAGAAGCAAACAGGGGTGAGGCCTCAGGAGGAAGGGGTGGGACAGGGGTGAGGCCTGGGCGAAGGGACACAGCAGGGGTGGGGCCTGGGGTAAGGAGTGGGGCAGGGGGGACGCTGGGGGGACAAGGCGGGGCAGGGCCCAGGGGGAAGGGACGGGGTCGGGGTGGTTCTGGGTTTTTATATTCTGTATTACAAAGTTGGCAACCCGAAGCCCTGGGGAGCGGGTGGCAGGGGGTGAGGAGCGCGGTGCTGACCGCTCTGTTTTTCTGCCTAGGCAGGGAAGTTCAGCCTGATCCCCACCATCATTAACCTGGCCACGGCGCTGACCTCGGTGGGAGTGGTGAGTATGTGCCCGCTGTGCCCGGGACGCTTGGCACAGGCTCCCTCGGGCACTAACCCTGCTCTCCTGCTCCCCAGGGCTCCTTCCTCTGCGACTGGATCTTACTGACCTTCCTGAACAAGAACGACATGTACAGCGCCCGGAAATTCGATCAGGTACCGGCCCGGCCCCGTGCTATGATCCTGCCCTGCTCCTGCCAGGGCACTCCCTCCCCTGGGCCGGGAGGTGCCCCCATCCACGGGAAGCGATTCGCCATGTCACACAGCAAGGCAGGGCAAAGCAGGGAATAGGCCCCAGGAGTCCTAGCACCCTGCTCTCACCACTAGACTCCACTGCCTACCTTGTGACTGGGCATCTCCAGGCTCGAGAGCAGTGAGGGAGTACCCAGGGCACCTCCCCCCACCCCCAAATTAAAGCCCAGCAGAGATCCTCCCTGTGCAGCGCTGAGAGACCCCCCACGGGGACCCCTGCTACCAGGGGAGGAGTGAGTGTGTGGCCTCAAGGGGAGAGCCCAGAGAAGGGGGCCATGTGCCCTGCCCACCCCAGCCCCCTTGCGCTGCAGCTGCTGTCACACGTTGTGTTTCTGCCCATCACAGATGCAGCCGCTTGGCACCTCGAGAGCCAGTGCCCAGAGACCGGGCCGGATGGGCTCTCCCTGCCCCTGCTGGCTCTGGGCGTTCCCTGCGGGAGCCGGGCACTGCAGCCTGCCTGATGAGCCACCCCCCAGGCCTTCCCCTGGCCGTTCTCCGCGCCCTGTGACCTGGGGTGGGGCCGTGAAGCGAGGCCCAGGCACTAACCGCCCCATCTCTCCTCTGTCTGGCCAGGACAGGACCCCGGCGCCAGGCGGCATTGGTAACGCCTGCACCACCCAGGCCTCCTCGCCGGCCCACCCCAAGGGCCCCGGCCAGCTCTGAGCTGCCTCTGCCCCCCACCTGCTGCTGTGGCTGGCCTGGGGACCCACTGCCAATGGGCAGGCTGAGTGGGGCTGCCCCAGTACTGACTGGAGGGATGAGGACCAGGAGACCCCCAGCCCAATCCGGATTTCACCCCACGGCCAGCAGAGTTCCTGGAGAGCCTCAGCTTCCCCGCGACTCTCTGCAGGGCTGGGGGCGAGTGAGCCCAGACCCAGACAGACCCCCAGCGCTAGGCCGAACACGCACCCCAGAGCCTTGTACAGACCCCGGGGCTGGGCCAAATCCCCCGGAGGCTGGAGAGCCAGGTGACCCGCCACGGGGACAGGTACCCGCCCCGTTCTACGCCCCCTGCTCTGCCAGCCCCTCCTGCAGTGAACTGTGATGAGGCGAGAGGTTGGCCCCAGTAGGCCAGCCGCAGAGAGGCTGGTCTGTGCAGGCTGCGGCCGCCTCCGCGGGCCCAGCCGGCTCTTTAACTCGCACTCACCAGGGAGTCATTTGGGTCACTGGGTGTCGTGCTGAGGGGGGACAGAACCAGCAGGGAGCACATGGGCACTGTCCTCTCCCGGGGCATCACCTCTTCCCTGCTACTATCCCCCTAAGGGAGCCCCCTGCCCTGCCCTGGGCTCCCCTTCCTCCACGGCTGCTCCCCACATTTCCCCAGCTGTTCTGGAGCCTGCTCACCCCATAGCACTCGCCCATGAGCCCCCCACAAACCCAGCCATGCCCACTCATGGCGTCAGACAAGCCACCACTCACAGGGCAGTTCCTCACAGCGTGATCACCACTCAGCCTTTTGGCTGGCTTTGAGCAGCAGCAGCTTAGTGAACACTACTGACGTTTGAATTGAGGAAAGCACCATTGAGATGACCAGGGCACTTCACCCCCTCAGAGCTGCTGTTTCAGGCTCTCTGCAGACTCTGGCAGAGCTCACGGCATCAGTGACGCTTGGGTCATAGTTTGAAGGGGTTTGTTACAATCCTAAGGACCAGAGATTTAATGTTAGTGCTCAGAGATGGGGGGGGAGGGCTCAGGTTTTTGGCAGCCCAGCTTGAGACACCTCATTTTCCAGGAAGTGCCGCGCCCCCGTCCTGTGAAAAACTGCCCTGGAGATACCCCCAAATCACCAGTCGCTGCTGAAAAGCTGGGCTTGAGAGCGTAGCCTGGCTCACACAAACGCAGGGCCCCGACCAGTCCCCCCCAGACACGCTCAGAGCTCACCTTGGGCCCTGAGCTGGCTCACGGCCTCCGGGGGGCAGGGGCCCATGTGGTAATCAGGAGCGCTGCGAGGTGAAAGCCCGTCCCCTTTGCACACCGTGACTGTGCCACACGGCTAGGCCATAGGGCGGGCCGGCGCCTTGGCAGGGCTGGAGATGTGAGATCAGGGCAGGGCAGAACGGCTGGCGCGGCCCCCAGGAAGCACTGCACCGGCAGGTGCTGCTGGTTGAGTTCACAGCCAGGCAGGAACTGGTGGCACCAAGGCCTTGCTGGCCAAGCCAGCGGTGTCTGGTGGTGCTGGCACAAGGGGCTGTCCCATCATGCCTGCCTGCCTGCCCTCTCACTTCACCAAACAGCTAGGAAATGAACGTGGGCAGATGCTATTACTGGCCCGGCCGGGCGAGCCAGGTCAGCGCCAGCGGGCCCTGCAGGCACAGGGGCTCCCGGGAGGTCGAGGGGCGCAATGCATCGTGGTACAGATGGGCTAACTCCACTGTGAGCTGGATGGCGAGCTGCCCACACGAGGCAGGCAGTGCGGCTTGCTGGGTTCCCGGTGCTGTGGGCCTCTGGCCCGCTGCTTTCATGGGGCCGTTGTGTTGTCACGTTATCCTGCCACTGGCCCTCTCGTGTCATTGTAGCTGGGGCAAGGGACTGGCCCCCCCAATCAGACCTGCCTCCGACCCCCATGGCCCTGCACTCAGGTGCCTACCGTCAACTCGAGCGGCCCTTGCTGGCCGTTCACCTCCCGGCTGTCCATGCAGGGGAAACCCTGTGAACCATGTGCCGAGGAAGTGCCCAATGCCCAGCGCAGTGGGGGTGACTTGGAGCCATGAGCCTGGCATCTCCTGGCTTTTGCACTGGCTGGAATGGCGCCAAGCTGCCGTGAGCCGGGTCCAGGAAACGGCACTAGGCCAATGAGAGTGGGGTGGGAACACTGGCTGTGACGCCTACCCCAGGCCCTGCCGCTCTCAGCACGGGGGGCTGGATGGCTGGGGCAGTAGTGGCTGTAGGGTGATCACAGCTCCCTCGCCTGGCCACCCCTCTCCCAGCAGGGGGCACTGTAAGGAGCAGGGGCACTCCCGGTTCGCCAGCCCCAGCCTGTCCCAGCAGGGGGCGCTCTGGGGAAGGCTGTGATAGCCGCGTCTATTAGCAATGATTTGCCGCTGCCCCATGCCATGACAGGCTCACGGGCGAGCACGTAGCTGGCAGTATCCTGAGCTCCTCCAGAGGTGCCAGGCAGGACGGCGCAGCCCCCCATGGCCCGTACCCAGAGAGACGGGAGGGCAGAGGCCACATGACCAGACGCCAGGCAGCGGGTGGGTTGGGTTGGAGCATGGTGATGCCTGGGCACAGGGGTGGGCGGGGGCAGCTCCTGGATCTCTTTGCCCTCATTACACCATCTCCCCACCCAGCGTCTTTCCAGGGGTGGTGCCCAGCCCCCCCCCCTTACAGGGCCATACAGGATGAGACTGGGCATCCCCAGCGAGATCAGGGCCCCACTGGGCTAGGTGCTGCAATGCCCCCTCACCTCCATCTCTCATGGAGCTCTCAGAGCATCCATGGGGCAGGCGAGCCGGGTGCTGTCTGCTCAGCGTTTAGGGGCCCAGCTACACTCCCGAGCTGTGGTGTGGCCCAGCCAAGCACTGAGCCGGTTTGCTTGGCCTTGCCCCCATTGCTACCCAGGGCCGGCTTTAGGAAGTGCGGGGCCCAATTCGAACATTTTTGGCGGGGCCCCCCAAAAAAACACATGTAAAAAAAGCCTTTCATTTTTTCCATGTATTATTTACTTTCCATAACTATATAAATAATAAAATTATATATTATGTACATTGCATCATATATGCTGTTGATCGGTTATTAATGAGCTCCGTTTCACATGTGTGGGTCCCCTCCACTCCCTGGGCGTGTGCTAGGGTGACCAGATGTCCTGATTTTATAGGGACAGTCCTGATTTTGGGGTCTTTTTCTTATATAGGCTCCTATTA